CTAAATCACCAATACTAAATCACGAGCCCTCCTCCCCCCAATACTAGGGCACAGTTTTTGCTCCAAAAAGTGACATCGCAAGCCCTGGTCCCTAAGATTTTGAGCTCATTTCTTGCCCCAAAGAGTCAAATCGCAAGCCCTGGTCCCTAAGATTTTGGGCTCATTTCTTGCCCCAAAGAGTAACATCGCAAGCCCTGGTCCCTATTATTTGGGGCCCAGTTTTTGCTCCAAAGAGTCAAATCGCAAGCCCTGGTCCCTAAGATTTTGGACTCAGTTTTTTGCTCCAAAGCAAGCCCTGGTCCTTAAGATTTTGGGCTCATTTGTTGCTCCGAAGAGTCAAATCGCAAGCCCTGGTCCCGAAGATTTCGGGTTCAATTTTTGCTCCACAGAGTCAAACCGCAAGCCCTGGTCCCTAAGATTTGGGGCACAGTTTTTGCTCCAAAGGGTCAAATCGCAAGCCCTGCTCCCGAAGATTTTGGGCTCATTTCTTGCCCAAAAGAGTGACATCGCAAGCCCTGGTCCCTAAGATCTTGGGCCCAGTTGCTCCAAAGAGTCAAATCGCAAGCCCTGGTCCCTAAGATTTTGGGCCCAGTTTTTGCTCCAAAGGGTCAAATCGCAAGCCCTGGTCCCTAAGATTTTGGGTTCAATCTTTGCTCCAAAGAGTAACATCGCTTGGGGCCCAGTTTTTGCTCCGAAGAGTCAAATCGCAAGCCCTGGTCCCTAAGATTTTGGGTTCAATTTTTGCTCCAAAGAGTGACATCGCAAGCTCTGGTCCCTAAGATTGGGGGCCCAGTTTTTGCTCCAAAGAGTGACATCGCAAGTCCTGGTCCCTAAGATTTTGGGTTCAATTTTTGCTGCAAAGAGTGACATCGCAAGCCCTGGTCCCTAAGATTTGGGGCCCAGTTTTTGCTCCAAAGAGTAACATCGCAAGCCCTGGTCCCTAAGATTTTGGGTTCATTGTTTGCTCCAAAGAGTGACATCGCAAGCCCTGGTCCCTAAGATTTGGGGCCCAGTTTTTGCTCCAAAGAGTGACATCGCAAGTCCTGGTCCCTAAGATTTTGGGTTCAATTTTTGCTCCAAAGAGTGACATCGCAAGCCCTGGTCCTTAAGATTTTGGGTTCGTTTTTTGCTCCAAAGAGTGACATCGCAAGCCCTGGTCCCTAAGATTTGGGGCCCAGTTTTTGCTCCAAAGAGTCAAATCGCAAGCCCTGGTCCCTAAGATTTTGGGTTCATTTTTTGCTCCAAAGAGTGACATCGCAAGCCCTGGTCCCTAAGATCTTGGGCCCAGTTTTTGCTCCAAAGAGTCAAATCGCAAGCCCTGGTCCCTAAGATTTTGGGTTCAATTTTTGCTCCAAAGAGTCAAATCGCAGGCCCTGGTCCCTAAGATTTTGCATTCATTGTTGCTCCAAAGAGTGACATCGCAAGCCCTGGTCCCTAAGATCTTGGGCCCAGTTTTTGCTCCGAAGAGTCAAATCGCAAGCCCTGGTCCCTAAGATTTTGGGTTCAATTTTTGCTCCAAAGAGTCAAATCGCAAGCCCTGGTCCCTAAGATTTGGGGCCCAGTTTTTGCTCCAAAGAGTCAAATCGCAAGCCCTGGTCCCTAAGATTTTGGGTTCATTTTTTGCTCCAAAGAGTGACATCGCAAGCCCTTGTCCCTAAGATTTTGGGCCCAGTTTTTGGTTCAAAGAGTCAAATCGCAAGCCCTGGTCCCTAAGATTTTGGGTTCAATTTTGCTCCAAAGAGTCAAACCGCAAGCCCTGGTCCCTAAGATTTTGGGGCCCAGTTTTTGCTCCAAAGAGTCAAATCGCAAACCCTGCTCCCTAAGATTTTGGGCCCAGTTTTTGCTCCAAAGAGTCAAATCGCAAGCCCTGGTCCCTAAGACTTTGGGTTCAATTTTGCTCCAAAGAGTGACATCGCAAGCCCTGGTCCCTAAGATTTGGGGCCCAGTTTTTGCGCCAAAGAGTAAAATCGCAAGCCCTGGTCCCTTAGATTTTTGGGTCGATTTTTGCTCCAAAGAGTCAAATCGCAAGCCCTGGTCCCTAAGTTTTCGGGGTCGATTTGTGCTCCACAGAGTCAAATCGCAAGCCCTGGTCCCTAAGATTTCGGGGTCGATTTGTGCTCCACGGAGTCAAATTGCAAGCCCTGGTCCCTAAGATTTTGGGCCCAGTATTTGCTCCAAAAGGTGAAATCGCAAGCCCCGGTCTTTAAGATTTTGGGCTCATTTCTTGCTCCAAAGAGTAACATCGCAAGCCCTGGTCCCTAAGATTTTGGAATCGATTTTTGCTCCAAAGAGTCAGATCGCAAGCCCTGGTCCTAAAATGTTGGGCTCAATTTTTGCTTTTCCCTTCTCTTCTGCTTCCTTTTAACTGATAAAACACAAGAAAGGAACTCATATGATAAAGCAGTGGAAAGGTAAGCAGAGGGTGACTCCTTGCGCGTGAGCCTTTCCATAATACTCCATCATATTCATCCTCTCGGCCTATCTCTTCTGTTCCTTTCCTTACTCTTCTCCTTCTCATAGTTCTTCCTTTTTGTTTTTCTCATTTCGAAAAGAAAGAGGGAAGGGAGAAACAAGGGAGAGAGAATAGATAAAGAAGAGTGCCATCTTCTCTGCGCCTTGTTTTGTCTCTCCCTCTTCTCTATTCATCTGTCTTCTATTCTCTTCCTTGCTCTTCCCATTAAATATGCAATCCTTGGTATCTCTCCTCTCTCCTTCTCTCTTCCTCCAACAGATGTGCTTTTGGATCGTTTTCTGCATCTTCAAGCGAGAAAAAAGGACACAGACTGCGATTAAAAGGGACGCCCATGTTGGATTGGCAGCAAGCCCAGCTGATGCTCATGATTCTCTCTCTTTCCCTACACATGGGCGATGGAACGGGTGTCCTTTTCAATCGTTTTCTGCATCTTCAAGAGAAACAGGGACACCCCACAAGAAGGAAAAGCAACATAAGAGATAGGGAGGGAAATTGACCCTTTCCTCTCTTCTTATCTGCTATTTTTCTTATTCGCTTCAAAAAGCAACATAAGGGAAAGGGGATTTCCTGAAGAGGAGAGAGGGAACCTATCTGTGAAAAGCAAGAATGGTTTTTTCTAGTTCGAAAGGGAATAGGGAGAGACAAGGGAGAGATGATATGTACAGCTTTGCGCCTTATTTTGTGATTCCGTCTCCTTGCTTCCTGTCTCTTCTATTCCTTGCAGCACGCTTCGGGAAACATAGCATCCTTGTTATCTTTCCTCTCTCACTTCCCTTTCCCTTCTCTTCTTCCGCTTCCTTTTAACTGATAAAACACAAGAAAGGAACTCATATGATAAAGCAGTGAAAAGGTAAGCAGAGGGTGACTCCTTGCGCGTGAGCCTTTCCATAATACTCCATCATATTCATCCTCTCGGCCTATCTCTTCTGTTCCTTTCCTTACTCTTCTCCTTCTCATAGTTCTTCCTTTTTGTTTTTCTCATTTCGAAAAGAAAGAGGGAAGGGAGAAACAAGGGAGAGAGAATAGATAAAGAAGAGCGCCATCTTCTCTATTCATCTGTCTTCTATTCTCTTCCTTGCTCTTCCCATTAAATATGCAATCCTTGGTATCTCTCCTCTCTCCTTCTCTCTTCCTCCAACAGATGTGCTTTTGGATCGTTTTCTGCATCTTCAAGCGAGAAAAAAGGACACAGAATGCGATTAAAAGGGACGCCCATGTTGGATTGGCAGCAAGCCCAGCTGATGCTCATGATTCTCTCTCTTTCCCTACATATGGGCGATGGAACGGGTGTCCTTTTCAATCGTTTTCTGCATCTTCAAGAGAAAAAGGGACACCCCACAAGAAGGAAAAGTAACATAAGAGATAGGGAGGGAAATTGAAGAACTCCTCATTGTACTTGGTCATTCCCTTTCCTCTCTTCTTATCTGCCCATTTTCTGTGCGCCTTGTTTTGTCTCCCCCTCTTCTCCCATCATCTCTCTTCTGGTCTTTTCTTTGCTCTTCCCATTAAAAATGCAACCCTTTTTATGTCTCCTCTCTCCTTCTCTCTCCCTCCTCTTCTCCTGTTCCCTTCTAAACGACAAAAACGCAAGAAAGGAAGAATAAGAGGGGAATGGAGGCCCTGTTCCTTTTCCTCTTTCAATGGATGGGGGAAGTGGGCGGAGTTGGCCCCTTGCCCGTACACCCTCCCCATGCTTCAGCAAACCCCTCCTCTCGCCCTATCGCCTCTGTTTTTTTCCTTGTGCCCAAACGGAAAACGAAAACGGGTTCCTTTATATGTTCATTGTCCTTCCTTTTGTTTTTTTATTTCACAGGGAAAAGAACCAGAGAAGAGGAAGATAAGAACGAGAGGTGAGATGAAAACGGCACCATCTTCTCTTTGCCTTATTTTTGCACCTCCCTCTCCTGTCTTAATTTCTCTTCCACTCTTTTTTTCCATTGCTCTTCCCATAATATTGCATTCCTTTTGATAACTCACAGGAAATTAAAATGGCCTCCTTGTTGTCTCTCCTCTCTCACTTCCCTTTCCCTTCTCTCCTTCTGTTTCCTTTTAATTTTAACTGATAAAACACAAGAAAGGAGCTTGTAAAATCAAGCAGTGGAAGGGTAAGCAGAAGGTGACTCCTTGTGCGTGGACCTTTGCCGTACTTCACCATACCCCTCTTTTCGGCCTATCTCTTCGGCTCTTTTCCTAACCCTTCTTCTTTTCATCTTTCTTTTTGTTTTTCTCATTTCGAAAAGACAGAGGGAACGGAGAGATAAGGGAGAGAGGATAGATAAAGAAGAGTACCATCTTCTTTGCGCCTTGTTTTATCTCTCTTCTATTCTTGTCCTGGCTCTTCCCATGAAAATCGTGTTCCTCTTATCTTTCCCTCCTTCTCTCCCTTCTCTTCTCCTCACGAGAGCCTTCGACTTTAGGATTGAGGAGAAAAAGAGAAGAGAAAAGAGGAACTACCTGGTTCTTGTTCCTGAGGTCTCCATAGTACGGCTGACGTGACAGCAGCGTACCCTCGTGGAAACGTGTATGGCTATAAGAAAACCCGAGTCCCAGCTTCCAAATAGACCCTATTTAAGCCACCCAGGGGGGGTACTAGCATCCCTATTAAAAGGACTGTTAGCATAAGGGGAACATCCCAAGTAGCATTCCTGACAACCGCCTCCAAGGAAACGAAAAAAGAGGGAACGCCTAAGTCGGTGCGAACCCCTTCGTCCCGTGCCCCCCGGCCTAGGGGAAGCGATCCGCAGCGGACTCTGCGCCCGTTGGCCTCCAAGTTGAAGTTCACCAACTCCGAGGCTGCTTCAGCTGGGGACGGCTCGAGCACCGAAAATCCTTGGTTCAGGGACTCCCACAACTCAAAAAGACAAGCAGGAAAGCTCCTGAAATGCGAAAAAACATGCGAAGAAAAACGTGATGTTGATCGGAAGTGGCCTTCGCTCACCCTTCGCATTCGAACTTCCAGGCCCAGAGGTTCGGCCTGAATGCCGTAGAAGCGAGCATAGGGCAGCACGAACAAGACGGCAGAGTTGTGCTGGTGAGCACTTGCGATGTACTCCTCCGTTTGACTGACTTCTGGCTCCTCCACACATGTTGTGTAGCGTGGCAAACCCTGTGCAGTCACGCTGATGTGATTCCGCAGATTCTCTCTTGGTTGCCATAGCGAAGTGTCCGGGCACTGCAGGTACGCGCGGGCACTTAGGGATGAACGAAGCTCTATCCTGAGCAAGAGGTCGAAGCTTGCAGGCACATCCACCCCGACGGAAAGCACTAAGGAAATAATGGAGGCGTCCTCCCTTCGCAGGCTCGCGTTCGTCATGGGATCGCAAACCTCAAAGCCTTCAATGCCAGCAGGTCCGGAAGCGTCTACAGCAAAATCTTGGTTCTCACCTTCAAAGATGGTGACGACCCAGCTGTTCGCTGTGAGCGGCCCAGTAGGATTCGTTAGCCCGAACGCGAACTCATAGGGCGGTGTAAGCTCTGAACGCCCAAAAAGCGATCTCCAGTAGACCTGCAAAATGGGCGGTGAGTCGAAGCTTCGGCATCGGGCCGTCGTGGGCAGCGCCCCACGTGGACGAAAGTCACCTTGACTTGCTGCTAGATTGAAGGTTCTGCTGTCACATTTCTCAACATTGAAAACTGCGATTGAAGACTGAAAACTATCAAACAAAAGTTTGCGAGAACAATGTTTGCGAGAATGGTCAGTTTGAGTCTGAGATTGAAGACATAGCCGCACCGTTTGGTCATGGGGAGGTGTGCAAAAAGCAACATATGCTATGCAATATGTTGTTTGGCCATGGCATGGCCGTGTGTGCTGTAAACTACCTGATGGTAGTACAATGTGTTTATGTATACAAAGCAGCATATGTGGGCGCAGGTGTGTTTAAGGTTTCTTGTCGCCATTCAGCTCTCCATCGCAACGCCGGGATGAGTCTTCCATAGCACCACTGAGCAAAACCTGAAACCCCATGCAAGCAATACTTGAACTCATGTCCTGTCGTGCACACTTTCCTATCTCAGAGCCGCTCACCGGGTAATGAAGAACAGAAACCGACCTCGGAGGCCGCCACAAGCCAGCATCGGATTCGATCTATTTGCTGGGATGTTCCTCCTCATACTTGCAGTCCTTCATAGGGATTATAGTGGGGGGGGGGGGGGGGGGTACTATAATCCCTATTAGGGACTGGTAGTTTAAGGCGGAACATCCCAAGATCTCTATGTTGAGTCTCCCAAGGCGATCATAACAATTTTGGGCTTCTTGGTTGTTTGGGATATTCGCATTTTTAGGGCTTAGGGTTTAGGGTTCAGGGTTTAGGGTTTCGGGTTCAGGGTTTAGGGTTTAGGGTTTAGGGTTTAGGGTTTAGGGTTTAGGGTTTAGGGTTTAGGGTTTAAACCCTAGAAAAGGCAAATAAACCCGTTTCTCGGCAAATAGTGCTTCTCCTAGACAAGCAGTGCTTTCACCAGGACAAGTATTTCTCGCATACTGTTACTACTACTCATATATGAAGCATATACCAATGACATACTCAGCATAAAGCATATACGTGTTGATGAAAGATTCATTGCAGACTAATGTCGTACGCATTGCATACGAAATCATAATAGTAGAGCACTAAAAGTAGTTCAGGGCTTTCTTTTCCTAATTCAAAAAAAAGAATACTTGAATACAACACATATATGAACTACATATTGACTAAGACACAGAAACAATGTTGATTACAACATAGTCGTCGAATAACCTAGAAAAGCATTGTCTTCTTGGAACTGCATAACTGCGACTACAAGATGGTGCTGAATGAAAGGTAGTCCTACTGCCCGAAGAATGCGGGAAAATGGGCTCTGCACATTGATGTCTTCAACAGACATCGGTGCTGGAGACTTGTGCTACCAAACAATACTTGTTCTTGTCTGTCACTCATCGACTGAGCATACCTAGCATTTTGTGAGGACTACCACTAAACACAAAAAACAACGGCTTTCTCCAAGCAACGGTGAGGACCCAGAAAAAGTCCCCCTTTTTGGGGGTACTTCTCACCAACTTCCGCAGTTTTGGTCAGAAAACCCTTTGTTTTTGCTGGGGAACAAGACCGTTTTGGATACGTATGTATGTACATACATACACATACATGTTGTACACATGCCCGTGCACGGTGAGGATGCCCCTAAAGAGGCCTACTTGGTAAGGTGCGCCTGATGTCCTGACTCCGCGAGCCAAGTCACTCTGGCAGGAGGCAAGGAAGCCAAGCGGGAGCTGCACCTCGATGGAACCGCGCTGGCCTCGCAGACTGCTTCCGGTATAGATGCTGAGCACGGCCCGGTGCGAAGCCCCTGCCGCATAGGATCCCGGACTGAGCCTCCCACGCAGCGTGAGCAGGGCAGATGACAAGAAGGAGGTCTGATGAACGATCTGATCTCCATTTGCGACGGTGCTGGCGGCAAAGGTCTGCAAGCTTAGCTGGCTGGTGTGTTCCGGGTTTCGTATCCAAATCCAGAAAGAGTAGTCCTGGTTGGTGAAGACTTGCTCGTCGAACACTAAGTCAGCAACCAAGCCATTGGAGGACACCAAGCAATCCGAAGGAGTGAGAAGCAGTATCTCAGGGGGCTGCACAGCGAGAGTGCTCGAGGGCCGTGTCGCATCCAGAATGCAGTTACCAGGGTCAAAGACACTTGCGCGCCCAGCCACACCGAAATTGACGATGCGCAGTTGAAAAGTTGCAGACGGTTCGGGGAAGGGCGTTCGGAGCTTAAACTGGACCAGTGCTGGTGCAGCTACCAGCGGAACTGCAGATTGCACGGACATGCCAAAGTGCTCGAACTCCCCATAAACCTCGAACCCTTGATTCCTCCCGATTGAGTTGGGGAGCCCTGTTGCAGCAAAGTCAATCTCAAGAACCTGGACCAGCCACTCATTGACAAGCGGCATCAAGATGGGATTGACCATGGGGACGTTAATGGTGTATGCCACATCGGCTGCCAAATCCTGCATCGCTCTAAAGAGGAGCGCGTTTGTCATGTTGAGCCAACTTGCAGGCAGGGATGCCACTTCGAAGAGATATTCTGGCTCCACCTTGTCTGGCTCCGAGACAATCCCATCGGGAGTGCGGATGTGCAGGAAGGAGCCGCTCTGCAACGCAGATGAGAGCTTGAACTCCAGCACAAACCTGGAAAATAGACTCCCAGCCCGTTGTGAAGAGGTTTGCACAGCCAAGGCGACGGGATACACCACCGCGAAGCCAGGAAGAGCAATGGCTCCCAGCGCCTTCAATGTCTCCGTTCTCAGAACAAAGCGCCACCTGCTTTCCGCTGACACGGGCGCCGTCGCAAAGAGATTAACTTGCAGCTGGGCAGGCAAGTTTTCAACAGCGAGTTCTCTGAGTTCCCTGAGACGGCGGGCTTCCCAGGGTGCCGAACCCACTGGTCTCTGAAGTAAGAATCGCAGGACGGGCTCGGGGGCTGCCTCATCTGGTGGTGCCTGCTCACACTGAACTGGGCTGCAGGCCGTGCCAGCAAAGGCTGTCAGGCCAAATGGAAGGGACACGTCCAAGATCGCAGGGCTCTCCCCAGCCGTGGGGCTCAGAAGCAAGCTCACAGGACCGCTCGCAATCTCTTGCCAATCAATCACCAGGGACACAGAAATGACGGTGTCCAGTGTCGGCGCCACTGGCGCAACAACTCTTAGAGGTAGAATGGGTAGAATTGGCAATGAGGTCAGGTAGCTTTTTCCCTGAAGAACACTGACTGAGCCTGTCGAGGAGGTGAGCAACTCCAGATCCACACCGGGGACGGCACCTGCATTCAAGATCGCTGGAAAGGATAGGATGACGCGCTCGAAAGGTGTCCACAAGTCGTCGCTCTCCAGCGAGATGCAGGTTCCACAACCCGTCAGCAAGCGGCACGCAGCCTGGGCTGCCTGGGCTGAGGGCTCCAGCACGGTACAGGTTAGTGGAGCGTTCGACCCCAGCTCCAACCCTGCCAGGCAGAAACGTGCACTCAATGTCTGGCTCGTGGAGGCCAAGATCAAGGAGCTCAGGGCGAAGCTCAGCACGATGTCGACAGGCTCTACACTGGGGAGTCGGCCAGGATAGCACAATGAGAGATGGGCCAGCGTCTGCACCACGGGCGCCACACCAAGGTCATAATGGCCTTGCCCAACAAGCGGTGCGATCTCGAGCACCAGCCCGGACTCGTCGACTGACTGAAGGCGCAGGGGAAATGCTGGGACAGATCGGCCTTCGGGCACGCTTGCTTGGATGCCGAAGCAATGGCGCACACCAGGGGCCAAGACTTCTGCGACCTGAATGCGCACGGAGGAACTCCGCTTCGAGCAGTCAAACAGCTTGGGCCAGGTGCAGCTGGTAGCCAAGTCACAGCTTTGAGCAGACTGACCACCTCCTTGGATCTCCAACACTTGTGGCAGCAGTGACAGCGGATCCTCAATCAGCGACAGGCAAGGTGCCTCAGCGACAAAGACGAATGCATCCTGGCCCGGCAAGGCAACTTCGATGAAACCTCCTGCAGGTAGCTCCACAGCAGGCACGAAGCTTAGGACAGCGGATTGGGTGACTGCTTCAGCACGGAAGAGGATGCTTGACAGTGGCTGCAGCCGAACATCCCCCAACTCGGCCGGAGATGGTCCCATCAACTCATTGGCTTCGAAGCGGGCATCTTGTGCCGTGCCACGTACTGACCACAAGTGAACCTGTCCATCAATTGCCCAAGATGGCAGCCGGACTGTCGCACTGATCTCCATGTCTTCCCCAGCAGCAAGCCGCAGCACGTCGACTCTCGCAGTAGCCCCATCTCCGATGCAGCCGGTCAGCTGCCAAGCCGTCTCAGGCTGTATCGCCGGCCACTTTGCGGCACAGTCACGAAAGAAGACGAATCCAACCGGAGCCTGCAGCTCCAGGGAGAGCTGGGTAGCAGAGAAAGCGTCCAAGGCCGATCCCTGCATCTGCAAAGTGAAGGTCGTCTCCAACGTGGGCGCCATCCCAGACAAGCCAGATCCTGACACGCCTGCGAGAAGATCCGACAGCTCCCAAGCATCGACGGAACAGCTCTGTCGAACCTGTCCCTGCGCCGTCAGGGTTTCCAGGGACCAATACTGACCGCGGATCTGATCAAACCTAGGCGATTGCACTCGCAGTCGGAAAGCATAGACCACGTGAGGCAGCAGACGCTGTCCAGCAGAGTCCGAGACATCAGAAAATGCCAGTGTCAAATCAGTTCGCTCCACGTTGCTCACACACACGAAACTGTCCAAGTCGGGTAAAGGGGAGTACCCACGAGGAAACTGAAGCACTGGAAGCTTTGGGCTCTCGGGATCTGCCATCTTCAGGACACTGGAGCAGTTGTTACCTTGCTCCGCAGGAAAAACGGAGAAGCCCTGCGGGAGCAACACTCGCACGCTCGAAGGCAGCTCTGGTTGACGCCACGACTGGACACCAAGAGGCTCAGCCAGCTGAAAGCTCAGTGACACCCAGCTGTCGAAGCCACGCAACCTGCTCGAGGGCGCTGCGGCGCAGTACTGCAGGGCCCCGATCACGTCATAGCCTCGCCGGACTCCCACATCCCGGCGGCTCTCAAACGACTCAAACGGTAGATACCTGTACAGACTCTCGAGTTGCCAATAGTTGAAGGCCGCATCGAGGGCTGTCCACTCAACTGAAGAGGGGTTTATCACATCTGCTGCAATGGCATAGCTTACCTCCGCCCGCGCTGTGCCTTGAATTGCCACCCTGAGTATCCACGCGGCAGCTGCGTCGATCTCCGGCTCAATCGTTGGGAACCTCTGCAGGCTGCCTGTCGTCAGCGGGTCATAGAGGCGAGCAGGCATGACCCAGCTGAAAAGGGAGGGCACCGTCACCACTAGGGAGTCGCCCGTCCGAAGCGGGGTCTGCAGCATGAAGTCCACCTGCACCCTGGTGGTCTGACCTGCCCGCTGATCTTCGGCAAAGATGGCCAAGATGGAGATCTGCTTCTTGTAGAGCCGGAAGGAGCTGTCATAGATTGAGGCTGGGTCGTTGGGTCTCAAGGCAGCCGTGACAGAGCTTCTCACAGAAGGGATGTTCTCCATCAACGCCACGGGCATGCCGTTGCCCTCGATCAACGTTAACGACCAACCAGATGCGTGCAAGAGAAGCTCATCTGCGGAAGCCGTGGACCAAAAGCTCTCGGGAGGGTTCTCAACAGAGATCTGAAAGGCAAAGCTCTGACCCGGCTCAAAACCTGCCTCCAAGTCGACCTGAACATCCACTGCCCGAGGTTTGGGCACAGCGGCCGTGCAAGAGGTTCGGGGCACGGGCGGCAAAGAGCTCATGGGCCAGAAGTCTGGACAAGGCCCATCCGGAAATGCGAAGCCGTTTGGGGCAAGCAACTGCAGTCGATGGGCAGGGGTTCTCCAATGTGTCAGGGAGAAGCCATCTCGCTCGGGGAGGGCAGCTCGGATAAGAAGGACCTGAAACTTCCCAAGGACAGGGTGCGTTGGAAGGATCTGTGCAGCTGCAAAGGCCGGAACGACGAAGTACTGGTAAGAACTGGCGTGAGCGTCGAAGGTCAAGGCAGAGTTTTCCACCAGGACCTCCACAGCCAGCCGCCACGTGCTGTACATAAGCGGGCTCGGGCCATTGTAGACCCAGCATGCCGTCCGATAGGCCACCCGCGGGTAGATGATGAAGTTGCGGCGAGCACCATACTCCATGTGCCAGCTTGCCCGACTCGCGGTGCCGGTAACTGACATGTCCGGAGGGCTCTCCCCAAGCCAGGCAATGCCCGCAACTGGCTCGCAAGTCTCCATCCTGGCATCTTCAGGCTCCAGAAGCTCCAGGATCACGGAGCCCGGGCCGGGAGGTGCAAAGACGCCGAGCTTCAGCTCGATCTCCACCCGGCTGAGGATGCTGCCCATGGGTGCAGGATACTTGTAGGTGCTCGACAGCACCTCCAGCGACATGCCCTCCGTGGTGTTGGAGAGCATGACGGAACCGCTAACTGCCACTGGGCTGTGTTCAAAGGCCCCGGCCACCCACTGGGACAGAATCGCTTCCCAGCGCACGGCAGCTGCCAGAGGCTGCTTGATTCCCGGGACGGACAGCGAGAATGTGTATGGCCTCAAGGGCAGCAAGGTGCTTGCTGAGCTCGGAAGCCTCAGCTCCAAGCCGTAAGTAGGACCGCCCGCATTGTACTCCAGGAGCTCGCAGGAGGTCTGGGCAGGAAAGTCTCCAGGAAAGAAGTGGCCGCAACCTCGGGTCTGTCGCCAAGGCCCCGAGCGCGTGTTCCAGGGCATCTGCAGCAACGTTGTCAACATGCTTGCGTTGACGGGTCGGGAGGCCTCGGTGCTCCATCCAATGAGAGGGGAGCCGATGAGCCGCAAACGTGAGCCTGCCAGCATCCCTTGTCCACCAAACTCGATTGCGAAGTCATACTCCCGAAGGGTCTCAGGACCGGAGACCTGACTCGAGGAGTTGGAGAAAGCGCCTGCAGATGGTAGAACCTGCCAGGAGTGGACAGAAACATCAGAGCCATTCACAACCGTCTGGAGGTGATCTGCGAAACGGTGCCGCCATGGCACAAGCTCTTGCACCTCAATCCAATCTCCCGCATAGGTACGGGCCGTCACCAAGTTCCATGTCACCATGCTCTCGCCCGATCCCAAAGCTGAGATTGGCCACTGCATCACAAACGTATACTCCGTGCTTGACTGCAGAGGCGATTGAAGCGTGAGCGTGAAGCGGCCTTGATCAAATCGACACTGCTGCAGGGCAGGAAAGGTATCAGAGATCTCCAAAACGATGCTACAGCCAGTTGTCTGCGAGGGTGCTGCGAAAAGCAAGCTGCTCTCAACCCACAACTCCAAGCGGTACAGATCAGATGTAGATCCATAAAGCCCATGTTCACTCGTTCGGAATGAAACAAGAAGTGGAGACATGGGGTCCTGTATGTATGGGGCAAACACTACGAAGTTCTCTGGCGATCCACCTGTCCGGAACAGAATCTTGCAGTACTGGAGTGGGTTGCCAGCCAGGTCCCGCACCACGTCCGCACGCAGTCTTACGTCGTACTCTAAGTCTGGCCGCAGTTCAGTTGCCGGTGTAACAAGAATAGACCGGTTGCCGTAGGTGCCATTCGTTACCAGTGACACCTGCCCATCCACAAAGCTGAGCGCACGCACATCTCCCAGCGCCACGAGCTCCACGAGGCCCGCACCCGGAACGACGGCTTCCGAGAAGACGAAGAGCAAGCCGAGGCTTGGGTCTACGTCTTCCGTCAGGTTGATTGGAAGACTCTCTATGAGGATCGGAAAGGCGCGGTCCCCGCTGGCAAAGTCATACTTGTAACTCACCTGGCACAGGCCAACAGTTAGGCACGAGTTCTGCTTGCACCTACTACACGCAGCCACACAGAAACCACACACACATCAAAGGTCTTTAAAAAACCCAACACTGAAAAAGAACAGGCGAGCTGCATAGCTCAGATCGGCTCGTACCGGGGCTGAGCATACCAGAAGAGCGAGCAGCTGCCCAGCGAAAAGCATGCAAGTGTCCACCAAGCATCATGGGAGAGGCGCAGAGGTGCAAGAGACCTAGATCTGCATAGACTAACTGACGAACTAGTCCCTCATGCACAAAGTCTTGCCGCAACACTTCCCGCCCTGCCGCTGTGTAGCATGTAGGTTCCCGAGCCAAGTGAGGCGCAAGGCACTTGCAGATGCGGGGGGGACGCATGGGCTGCCATGTGCCATGTGACGCTACAATGCCTTACAGCACGGCGCAGCCTTCTGTCTGAAGCGATCCGCCATGATGAAGCCCACTCCCAGGATGTCGGCCATGCGCCGCGTGAACTGCAAAAAGGGAAAGCACTTGGAGGCTCAGGGCACTTATAACCCAAACTATAACTGTAGTTATAAGCCCCCTAAGTCCTCTAAGTAGGCGATAAGTAGACTTAGAGGGTTTAGGGTTTAGGGTTTAGGGTTTAGGGTTTAGGGTTTAGGGCTTAGGATTGTGGGGTTATAAGTACCTATGAACCTCCAAGCAGAGCTGGGCAGGAGAAAGAGAGGGCCCCCCTCCCATGGCTGAGGGCCTTCATGCCTCCGCCGCTCGTGGCGCAAACAAGGACACGCTCCTGCTCAGGGTTTAGGGTTTAGGGTTTAGGGTTTTTGGTTTAGGGTTTAGGGGTTCAGGGTTCAGGGTTCAGGGTTCAGGGTTTAGGGTTTAGGGTTTAGGGTTTAGGGTTTAGGGTTTAGGGTTTAGGATTTAGGGTTTAGGGTTTAGGGTTTAGCCTACAGCACGACATAAAGGAACACAAAGAGACGAACACCGCGATGCCTCGTCGAACACCGGAATGTTCTGTCGGATGAAGTCGGCCAGGTACCTGATTCAGCTCTGGAGAAGTCAAAGATCAAAGGGTCCGGTCAGATAGCTGATCTAAACAATTCATCATCCTTTCCACCTTGCAGGCACAGTCCCTATGCCCACCAACGCCCAGCCTATCTGAGCTCAGCTCATCAAGCACCATGCCAGGTGGGCTGAATGCACCTTCAGCCTGAGGGCATCCGTGAGGTTTGGGGGGCCTTGGGGGGGGAGGGAGCTTGTCCTAAACCCTGAACCGCGAGAACCTTGATCCCTGAAGATTTGAACCCTGTGAACCCTATGAAACTTAGACCCAAATCCCCACCCCTCCCCAAAAAACAGAATTTAAACAAAAAGCACCTGGTTGTGCAAGTCGACGGTCACGAAACGCTCGGCCCCCGCAGTCTGGCAAGGATGCATCTATCTGCAAAGTTTCGGGTATGGGTGGCTTAGGGCTCAGTGTTTGGGTTAGGATACTCGCCTTAGTGTTTTTACCAATCGGGTTTAGGGGTTGTGGGTTTAGGGCCGTTTAGGGCCGCTGAGGGCTTGGAGTATGGAAAAGAGTGAGATTGTGGCCTTGATGCATCGGAACATCAGCTTGGGAGGAATGGCCTGCGAGCCGGCTCAAGAGGGGTCAGTGACGTAGATGCAGCATGTTGGTGCAACCATCCAGGCTTAAAAAGAGCAGGCCACAGTGGCTACAACGCACGAAGTGCCTCGCCGGCCATGAGTTTGCGATCCTGAACAAAGATAAACACTCAAAGCAACCGGCTGCAAAATCTGGAATTGCAGCGCCTGTCGTGCATACTCGAGGCAGGGCATAACGACGGTGAGTCGATGTGGAGACTCGGCAAAACGCAAGTAGCCAACTGTGTAACAAAAGTGGAAAATCACACGACTTGCGCAATTTACACGATTCAGGACAGCACCTCACCCCTGAGAGCATCCACCAGCAGCAGCAATCTCATCAGGGAGAAGTTCACCTCTCAAAGCGGCGTCTGACATCTGTGACTGAGCTTGTGAAAAAGGCGACCTCGGACATGGTATCATTGCGGACGATGATCACAAAGACATCATGATTGGTCACCTGGGGCAAGGCACAGCACCGAACCGAATGTTTGCGCGACGTCTCAGACTAATCCGTCTTGGATAAATCCACCAAGGCGGCTTCCGTCTGCAACACTTTCGCGCCAATCTCACCATTGTCGAACATGGCAAAGTGGCACTCCCTGGCATGCAAACAAAAATGGGCAGTAATGCCAAACAAGGTGGGTCATGACTGCCGGGGATGGCCCTGATCGCCAGCGTAAATGGGCAAGGACCTGCAAGGCGTGCGCACGTTTGTTGGAGACTTTGGCTGGCTCAAAAAAACACACACCTGCTGCAGCAGGTGATCACTTCCCGGCAGGCCAAAAACCTGCCAAGAAACCTGCTTCACTTGCCGACAAACTACCGAAATGTGTGGAAATGCGCAAAGCTTGCCACAGGCGGGTGCCCCAAAGGAATTCGAATCGCCTCGCACGGGCCATTTGTGGCTGCCCCCATATGAGAACAGATCTGCAACAAACACTGCATCATCCTGGTACGACTCGTCTTCTGCGTCGAAGTCGTCGTCATCACATTCATCATCGGACGAAGCCATTCAATGCAGTATAGGCCTATCTTGGGATTTCAAGGGGTTGGCTGATCCATCGGACTTCCTAATGCCATGTCCGGCTTGCACTAGCAACTCTCAAGATAAGTCGTCAAAACTGTTTGGCTGCCTGTTGGGGGGTGTTGGGGGGTGTTGTTGTGGTTTCTGTGGTCTTGCAAGCTGGATGCTAAATAGTAAGCCTGAAAATGCGGCTGATGTCTCAACAAAGCCATCAAAGGCATCAACGCCATCAGGCCAAAAACGAAGGCTCAGACCCGTGGAGATGATTTTGCTGTGTGACCGCGTTACAACTTGAGACTCCAGCCGAAGACTCCCCAAGCTTGCGTCATCCAGGCTCGTTGCGCAGTCATGCTGTGCTTTGCCAATACATGACCGCCCTCATAATTGGGAAGATCAAGACAGGCCCAGACCGGCGAGACCAAGCTTGATGAACAGGAGTTCGAAGAAGGACGTCTGCACGTGCCCTCATGCAGACGTCGAAAGACATGGAATACGAGTAAACCACAAAACCATCTCAATGCAAAAACATCTCAAACTGCACCCAATAACCTGGTTGAACTAATTCTCTATTAAGTCTTACTCCTCTGATTTCAAATGATGAACAAGAAACAAAAAACAAGAGACAAGGGAATGGATTTAAACTTTCTCTATTCTTATTATCTACTTCTTTTTCGAATTCTGAATACAAAACAACAAAACACGAAACGAGGGGGTGGAATTTAGATCAATTCCTTCTCTAATTTTCAACTTCTTGACTCAATTCGAGAGGTAGGATTTTTTGGAAGTGTTTGAAACCTGGTTGAGCCAGGTTCAAGAGTTCGAAGCCCGGGTTCGAACTCTAGGCCCACAAGTTCGAGCCTAGGTTGAACAGCTTAAAGAGTGTAAGCAGGATTTGAACCTGGGGTTGAACCAAGAGTTCGAACCCAGGGTTTGGAGAACATAGAGTACCGGGCCCCGGGTTCGAACTCTAGGGGGTTTGAACCAGGGGTTCGGAATTAGAGTTCCGAACTCCGGCTTCAAACACGCCCCAAAAAAACGTGTAGCTCCAAAAACCACGTGAATAAAAAAGATATCGCAAAACCAGTTTGAAACTTGCTCATTTTCGAATTCCTGCGTGCCATCTTGTGGGTCAGAATGAAAGTGAAAAATATTTCAGACAAGAGATGTTCCGTTCGATTTTGTGGGTTTATTCTCAACCTTCCCATTAAGGTCGGAGGGGGGGGTTCGAACCTGGGACCCAGGTTCGAACTCTTTTCCTCAAAACGAAGCTTGAACCTGGGTTCACCCCAGGTTTGAACTTGTCTACATAGTTTTTTTTTTGTTTGGGGGGGTGGGGGGGGTGTTTGAATCCAGGGTTCGGAACTCTAAGTTCCGAACCCTGGGTTCGACCCCCCGAACTTCGAGTTCCAACCCAAGGTTCAGAACTCTATGTTCTCCGAACCCTGGGTTCGAACTCCAGGTTGAACCACCGGTTCAACTCCAGGTGAACTCTTCAAAACTTACGGTTCAACCTGGGTTTGAACTTTTGGGCCTATAGCTCGAACCGGGGTTCGAACTCCTGAACCTGGGGTTTAACCAGGTATGGTTTGAACATAGAGTTCGAACCGAAACGCGACTGCATAGAATTCCACTTGCTGGAGGTCAAACAGACGCATGAGTCATGAGTCTTCACTGCCAGTCGTTGGGTATGCTGGGCTGGGAGGTTGCAAGCAGATGCGTGTGCAACCCTGACGCAACCCATGATGTCCAGCTACAACGAGGCACGCGCACAGACACCTGCAAAACAGATGCTTCAAACCGATTGGCAAGCAGGCCTGCTTGTCTCAGCAAAGGTCGAACATCCGGGGTCGCATAAAGTCAGACTCCAAGCTTCAGCTCCGGCAAGGAGAGGCCTTTTTATGGTATTAAGTGTTGACCGTTGATAGGCCTTTCCTCACCAAGGACGCTTCACGATAAGCGTGGACCTGTTTCACCGGGTCTTGAGAGGGCAAGGAGAACGTGACGCACTTGAAAGCTCCAAAATGTGCAGGCAATGTTGTGCCTGTGACATGTGTCCAACACGCTCTCCGACTGTACATCCTACACTACATGCATGACTGGACTGTGCCGATCATACTTTAAACTCAGACCGTGGTCCACCATCATGCTTCGTCACTCTCCCAAGCGCTCATTGGCGCTCCGTGCACTCTTGCAGGTCTCGGATGGCCTGAATATGAGCTGGCGAGATGCCACAGCAGCCTCCGACAATGCTTGCTCCACTTCTGAGCCAGTCTTGGACTTGCTCCACATAGTGCGCCTCACAGAGGTCCCTCACCACCATACCATGCGCCCCGTGGTCATTGGCGCCCACATGTGATTCGTTTTGATCGATTGTCCAGTGATCACGGTCGCACTCCTCCCATGCATTGCCGTAGCCTCCAAGCCTGATGTAAGAAGGTGATCCATTTAGTGCTGCCGAGGCTTTGGGAAGTGCTTCTGCAATCAATTCGGGCGCGCAGCAATTGAACAGCACGGCCTCCACACCCATTGCCACAGTCTGTTTCACCACTGCTTCAACATCCGTACCATCAGGAATGCACAAACGGTCTTTTTTGTCATGCTTCAAAGTGAAGGAAGCCCAGGTAGGTTTTCCCTTTGCAACACACATGGGCACAGCGACTGCCGCCTCGCGCATTGATGACATAGTCTCGCACAAGAAAATGTCTGATCCCATCAAAGAGTCGATGATCTCTGCATACTCTTCCCTCAACTGCTTATCCTGGGGCACAAGATCTGCTCTATAGCTCTCTGACAGTGGTGGTACGCAACCAGCCACTGACACACTGGCAGCACTGTCAGTCTTGGCGATGGCCTGCTTTGCCAGTGCCACACACAGTTCGTTTAGCTCCTTCACACGAGAGGCCTCACCAATCTTGTCGAGGTAGAAGCGTGTCACTGCGTACGAGGCAGTTGTGATCACTGTGGCACCAGCTTTGATGTAGTCCTCATGCAACTGGGCAACTGCGTGGGGCGTCTCTAGCAGGCTGGCGGTTGAGAACAAGTCCAATGAATAGGCGACGTCATCTCCTGCGGCTTTGCGTGCCTTGAGTTCTTGCCCCATTGACCCATCAAGCAGTGTGAACTTCATCTTCAAAGCACTCTTGGGCAGAGTACCACAGCAAGCGCCAATGATGTGTGAAACCTTTGGTCGCTGGTATGTTTGCTCGGTTGCACTTAAAAGCGTAATCTAAACCGCCTTCATGCGAAGTCGATGCACATTGCTCTGCTAGCCCCTTGCCCATGCTGCCACTCTGGCGCTGCTTGGTTCAAAATACAGCAAGCTTGGAAGCATAGAAGATCACAACACCAATGCTGGCAAAATCTGACAAGTAGGCAAAAAGCACTCTGTCTCTGTTGACCCTGGCCAAGTGCTCTCCGAAATTGGAAGTCGGCATTCGTCGTAGATACATGCCGACAGTTGTAGGGCTCGCACTTCTAATCATAGCTAAGCTGCTGACAACCGCCAAAGCTATTGGTTCCGCACACAAGAAACACATGCAGGAGATTTCAGCCGGTGGTTCTTTCCCGCATGCGAATTGCAAGAATTGGGCGCCTCGTAAGCGGTGATTCGACGTGTTCCGAAGTTTGATTTCAGATTTCCAAACTCAACGCTGTTGACTCCCAAGCACATAACAACTGTTATCAAAAGTGATAGTGATTGACGAGCTCACTTGGAATCTAACGCGACTGCGCATGCGATTCCGAAAAGCTGCATTACACGCATGGGTCCAAATCAACAAATCATGTTGTGTGAGGCTTGGCACCTGGCATTTCAGCCCTCCAGTGAAAGCATACAAAACTGATGTCAGTCAAAACGAACAGTTCAACGCGCGGGCCAGAAAGGCGAAGAACGCGCTCAACATTGAAGTGCTTGAAAGCAAATCAAATCAGCAGCCAATACCACTCCATCCTGCCCCGGTTGGTCTCCCAGCAGGGACAAAGCAAAAGGAAGGGTGCCAAGAACGAAGCGAAGGGGGTTGAGAAAGCACGCAAAGACCGTACGAGTCCGCTCGGGGCCGCAAACACCCGCCGTGCGGTCATTACAGTGGTGATGTTCCGGTGACGAGAATGGGCCCCCCCTTTGGGCAAGGGAGGCTTAAGGCCCCCTTTAACCCCCCTTTAAGCCCCCCTTAAGCCCCTTCAAAGGGGTCCTTCGGGGGGGAGGAGGAGGGGGCGGCAAAGGTAAGCCCCCCCTTAAGCCCCCTGTAAAGCCCCCCTTAAGCCCCCCCTTAACCCCCCCTTAAGCCCCCCTTAAGCCTTGAGTCACCCCCTTTAAGCTCCTTAAGCCCCCCCACCTTGAGCCCCCCTTAAAGCCACCTTTAAGCCCCCTTAAGTCCCCCTTGAAGTCCCCCTTGTCTCGCAATGTGGATAATGGCTACATGTGCATCAAACATGATGAGATATTTGCTTCGTTGAAACTCTTGCTGGGTGTTGTTGAGAAACAAGGCTTGAAACAGGCATGGATCTCCCCTAAAAAGTTACGTACGCCAGGCGTGAGCCGTTGGCTACCTGGGCAAAACCTGCCTCAGGAGCTTGGGTTGAGATGCAGGTCAGTGATGTGCTGCCGGTAGTAACCTTCGCATGCCGCCATATGCAACTGATGTATGGCCAAACAAAGATGCGCCAAACAACTGGTGTAACAATGGGCAGTAGTCTGGGAGGGTCAATCTTCAAGATTGTCCTTGCGATCCATGAGACGCAGGCTGTAACAGGGGAAGGTGGCGCAAGATTTGTCGATGACCTCAGACTTTTCGCAATAGTGCCCCTTAGATTTGATGAAGCCTGCGTTTACGCAAGGCTTGAATCTCTCCTGGCTGCCTTATACCCCCCGCACATTGTTCTAAAACGTGACGCGGTAAACCCAACCATTGGGATGTGTGTGTTTGGCCACAATCAAACACTTGCTTGGACGTTACACGTCAAAGGCCTCTCATCAATGCATTGCTACAGCCCCTCAGGTGTCTAACAACATAAGCTGACTTCTGTTGCTGTCCAAGATTAGCGGCACCTTCCCTTCAAGGGCGAACATTGGACTTCCAGCAGACGTGCTCTCAGCTGAACGTAAGCCTCAACCTACTCAGGAAGAGCTTTGGTCAGTGCGAGCCTGCATCAAGGCTGTTGATCGGTTAACCACTGCAAGCCACGCTTTTGTCCGCAGTCGCATTTCGCGTTCCGGCCAGCAAGGAAAAGAATACCAAGCTTTCTTTTATTGCACATGGTTCCGGGGATTGTTAATTGCAGCGACACATGGGACGATGGTCGCTCGGCTCGGTGCTCAGCCTTCGAAGCCTTCGAAGCTTCAGACCTTCACGTTTCCCGCCTTTCTACCTCTTCCTGACTCTTTGGCTTCAAAGGCTTCAAAAAAGGCTTTGAAGCTCCCTTCGTAAAGAGGGCCCAAGGGAGCTTTAGAAAGGAATCCGAGAACTCCAAGGTTATAAAGGGGCTTCATCCTCCCCTTTGAAAGCTTATTCATCTTTGAATTAAGGGGAGGTTGAGGAGAGCTTAAAGAGGGCTTGAGGCTCAAAGAGGCAGAGGTGGCTTAAAGGTATGGGGGGGAGAAGTTCCCCCTTTCGTTTTTACCAAAGTGTGGAGAATTGGAAGAGAAAGGGAGAAGAGAGAAGGAAATGTGTTCTAAACCACCCCTTCGAATCTTTTTTTGGTTCTTTGCATTTCATCTTTTTGAAAATTTAGAGAAAAGGAAGAAGAAAATTTCTTCTAAATTCCACCCCCTTAAATCTTTTGTTTGGATTCTTTATTCGAAAAAAAGAGGAGTAGTGATGAGACGGAGCCTTCGAAGTCCCTTCGCCTTCGAAACCTTTGAAGTCTTCTTCGTCTTCATCTTCAAAGTCTTCGAAGCCTTCGATTTACAGGTTTAAGGATGTGGAGCTTCTGCTCAGGGCTGGGCACACCTGGCTTCAACACTTCTGGTCACATTCGACACGCGCTTGATGTCATAATTGGGGATCACAGGCAGCCGGAAGGATGGGGGGGCTTTAAGGAAGCTTAAAAGAGGGCTTAAAGGGGGGCTTGAGCCACGAAAAACGGAGGGGCCAAAAAGGGGGGCTTTAAGGGGGCTTAAAGGGCTTCAAGGGGGTTTTCAACAAGAAACCTCGCAGGAACCCTGAACAAGAGTGCTAAACGGCAGACAGTTTGGTCACCTAAGGGGCGTGCCGCGCACAGGTTTTTGTCCTTAGGAACGATACGTGCCGGGGTCCAAGACTCAGACCGGGTCCCTCGCATCGAGCGCCAAACTGTTGCATGTTTGCTGATTAGGGTGCCTGGTTGCAGGTCAGGTCGCAGGCCTGGTATCGTGATATCGGAAACCGAAACCCAATCAGGCACATCGAAGCGAAAGCTCTGACCTCCCACCATCTCGAAGCAGTGCGTGACATCAGACTTTGTTGCAAACCCTTCCTGAAACATGCACCCATCAACACCCATCTCAACCAAGTGCACTATACTACCTATTGGGAGTGGCAATTGGCTGCCCATGGAGTCGACACGCAGGATCACTGGCCGAATGCTTCGAAAGACACTGCCACACGGGTATGCAATCTGGGACGGGGATTGGAACAAGCTGTCAGCGAGTTGTTTGGCAAGGGCAGGGCATAAAGCTACCAAACTGCTGGGGTTTTTGTCCAGAACCTCCACCCACAAACCTTTACAGACCCTCGAAATCTCATCAGCAGCTCGCACAGTCAAGTAGCCGCCACACCATGGGGAATTGGCATGAACTGGATATCCCCAACTACTGACAAGTGTCTCAGTGAACGTGCGCACAAGGTCAGCCACCCTCTCACGGCAACATGCGTGATCAAAGGGGTCCCTCAGTTTACATGCCATGTCAGACAACCCTTGCGACACACAGGAGACAGTCCAACTGTTGTCAGGCAGAAGTCTTGTTTGCACAGGAACTGAGCTGAGAAACTTGAACTCAGGTGACCAAGGGATGTCTGCTTGCTTCGCGCAGCAATGCCTGTTACCGTCAGGCCCAGTGACACGTGGGAATGACACAAGGTGAGGCTGCTGGCACACGCAAGGGCACGCTGCTTTGGAGTCAAGGCGTTTGTTGAACTTATGCGCTGTGCGGACTACGGCCAAAAGTGACTGCACAGGTTTCCAAACAATACGCACTCTCAACCTACCGTTAGTGAACACGCTGGCCTGGAAAACGCCTGACCTGAACAGAGTAAGAACAAACTCCTTCAAGGCAGCCCTTGTAAGCGACTCATTTGCAACGCTGCCGCACCATGGGAGTCGCACTGTGACCGACCGTAAAGGGAGCTGAAGACCGACTTTTCGACTTCTGGAACGAATCAATTTCATTGCGCAAGATTTCTTGCACCCGTGTAGAAATTGACCTGCAAAACCGTAGGCTTGCAGCAAGATCAATCGAGAACGGGTAACATGCAACAGTTTTAACCCATGCTTGGTGGCGGCATCCCTTCCCTCCAACATCAAGGCACAACAAATCCGACCCAATGTGGTGCAACTCTTGGGCTTTTTGGGAAAGCACAGGCTGGGTTTAGGATCATTACGGCTTGATCGACGTCTCGCAAGCGGCCTGCTCTTTGGGGTTGCCCGTCCAGGGCCAGGGCAGGTACGGTGTACCGTCACGCTAGTCATGGGCAGGTTGCAGTAGCCCAAACCGTGCAAATGTCGGTGCACATGTGGGGTGTTGAGTTTAAAAACCCAACCGTTAAGGAACACTCTTTCAAAAATGACAGCATCAGCAGTGCCACCTGGGACAACCACCACAGGAAGCATGAAAAACGCAGTCGCTGCATTCCAGCCATCAGGACACGTGCGTCGCATAACTGCGTAGGCAGGTAGCTGGCCTTGCACGTTCGAATTTGCAATGCGAAAGAAATGTTGTCGATGTCTCTCAGGCAAATCCTTTGTTCTGCCACCATACACTTTGTCTGACATGGGGGACCAAAGAATGTAAAGTAGGTTTTCCATCTCTATGCATGAATCTAGATTGGGCCACGCAGTGCCTGGGAACCTGCACAATGGTCAACGAGAGCTACATCATGGTGGTGCGTCGACAGACAAAAACTC